CAAGGTATGCTGCAAGCATCGCCATCTGCCATGTCTGAACAACGCGAACGGGATGAAATGGCACCGGGTAGAGCTTGGGCAAGATATACTTGTAGCGTTTTGCGCTGTGTGCCCATGCTTCTTGATACTTGCCCACCGAAAGGAGATTTACAATGAGCTCATCGCGGAGCGAGGCGTACGGCTGGCGGTACAGAGGCCAGTTACCAGACTCATGGCATGCCTTGAGGGCTTCTTTGAGAACCGGAATCACAGCCTCTGCATTTGGCATGCCCTGTATTTGCTCATACAAGGTGAACATTTGCTCTTGATTGCTGGCCAGTGCCTGAGTTTCTTCTTTGCTGGGGACAAAGTCAGAGTTTGCTGGAACGAGCCAATTGTCTTCCTGGTGCGTGGCTTTGTCCTGACATTTCGCACATCGGCATGTGAAGAACCAACGTGCCTGAAGCTCGTCCTGTCGTTTCTGGTACGGATGCGTCGTGTCAATGTAGGATATGAAAATCTCCTTATCCTTTCTGATTGGCCGCAGAGTCCGAATACTGACCAAGGGTCCATCCATCATGATGTAAGCATTCGGGTCGCAGGAATGGTTCATCTGGCAGAGTGTGGGGTCCACGATGATACCCAGTGGATCCAATGTTGGTGTGATGAGCGTCAAGGCGTTTGACATTACCTTGCACGATTTAATAGTGTGCGCACAAATATTTGAGTTCCACTTACCCGTCCATACATTGCAGCAACAAAATCCTTGTCAAAGACATTCTGTGGGAGTGAAAATTGAGCGGCCCCCATGGCCATCATTTCAATATTTTGATATGTCCCATTCCGTTTGAAGTCGTCAATGTGAGATGGTAACTGGCAAAGCAGTTCCCAATCCTTATCAGGTATCAGGCCATGTTTCCTCCGGGTAAGTATTTCCATAGATGCTAGGAATGCTTTTGGAAGGCCCCTGCCAGCCATAGGCTTGAGGATCTTGCACTCATGTTTATGCCCGCGGTTCCACGCTTCCTTTTGGCAAGCCTGAAAGAGTCAATTGGCAACAAGGCAAATATGCGGGTATAACACTTACCTTGCTACAATACCTAAATCTCTGGCATGCAGCACATTTGCTGACTTCTGCACCTTCTGGCACATATAATCTTGTTCCTGCTGACGCACCTTCGGTCCAAAGATAGCAATTTGCGCAGGTATCGAGTAGACGTTCCGTCTCTAAAGAGCCCACAAGAGGACGTTTGAACCTCGCAATCTCTTCGCCTGCACCAAACCTCTGATTCGCGAACAATCCATTTCCGACACTTTCTCCTTTGCTGTTCACACAGACATTCGACTTGGCAACGTAGTAGGGTGCTGGGGTAGCTACCGAGGCTTTCAGCTCATCTGACATACTACAATATCTTGACGAATAATTTCTTGTAAAACGTGCGGAAGCTGAATAAGAAGGACTATGGTTACCACGGCTCGTGAGACGTCATTGTTTTCCGTTCTGGAGCAGCTTGGAACGCGCCAAAACGTGGGTTTGGCGGGACTAGGCCCGTCTAGGCATGGTTCGTTCATCCCCTCACTACTACCACGGCGCCTTGTACATATCATCTTCTCGAACAGATCACTGCCATGAAAACAAGATGAATCGATGAATGACTCCCACGGGTTAGCTTGCTGTATTCGTATCACACCCTTCGTATAAAAACATGTGACACCACAGTGCAAAAAGCCTATCAATATACTATAAATGGAGCGTCCCATGCGAGGCATAAGCACGCGAAGCTCCTCATGCTACACCATCTCCCATCCCCAGATCCTTTGACTACTACCATAAAAAAAGGAGGTACTGCTAATGCGTTCCAATTGGTGCCACCACGGCGCAAACTACAACACCTCTTCAACACCCTCCCTAACCACCACTCCGCGCTTAAAAATATCGCAATACCGCTCTGACAAAGATATATACGTCTTGACCACACAGCACAAGAACAAAAACAACACCAACAAAAACCCCGAGGAATCCCCTCGGAAAGATATAGAATCCATCACACGTGACCTCGAACTCCACTATCAAGCCCTGGACCCGCCGGCCCGCGAGCTAGCTCTCGTCCGCGATCTCGTAAACGACTGGAACGACCGGCGTCTCCTTGCACTCTGGAAGTGCTTCGAGCACCACCCCCGACGCCCATTCAAGGTCGTGCATGTGATGGGATTAGATTTCGGCGAGGCGGAAATGGGAACGGTGATTAGGCGTGCGCTGCGCAGGCTGCAGAGGCATCCGCAGAAGGAGCTTTTGGTGGTGGTGGCGAGGGCGCTGCACAAGGATGGGAATGGAGATGTGGTGTTGGGGCTTGAGGATCCGCGGTATGTGTTGAATTGTCGGGATGGGGAGGAGGAGGAGGAGGAGGTGGTGGTGGTGGTGGTGTAGTGGCGATTCTGGGAGTGGATGATCGGTACAGTGTTGGTTTGGACACACCAAGTGTTTGGATACTATCTTAGAGCTCATCAAACATAACAACACACGCTTGTAGCTGTTAATACGTCTCGGAACCATGTCTCTCGTTCGCTCGCATAAAACCATTATGAATAACTAAACAAGCCTTAACCAGACTCTATTCAATTCCGTTCCGATTATCATTAGATAAAATTACACTATTATGTCGTGAATAATTGTACAAAAGCCCTTATAATTACTGCTCCTCATTCTCGGCATAGATAAAGTTCGCTGCCACGGGAACCAGCTCATTCTCCTGAGCCCATTCCCTTACACCACCACGTTCCTTCCCCATACCCCAATGCTTACGGTCCTGCGGTTTGCTCGGATGCAAAGGCTCGGTCGTGCCATTCTTGGGTGCGAAAACAAGAAACACGTAGCGATGTTTGCCAGTCTTGGGTGGCGGGCCAGGAGGCTTGTATTCCATGACATCATCTAGCTCCTCTGTCGATTCAATGTCCTCGGTGAGACCAAACTCTGGTACGGGCAGGACGGAAAATGTATCTTGAGCGATGGAGACGTTGGAAGCAATCCAGTGACAGAATTCACTCCACTCGGGGTTGTCGCGGGACGGGGCATCCGGGTCTGTCAAGGTGATAATGTAGCTCATACCAGAACTAGCATGCTTGCCGTCCGGGCTAGTGTCGTCATGCAGAATCACGGTGGGTTGCTTTTGGAGGTCTTCTGGGTCGATAGTATTGCCTAGCTTAGCCTTTGCATCCGGCCAGGAAATGGAAAGCGTGAGACTGGGGAGAAAGTCGTCGATGACTAGAGGGCGGTTAGTGCTGAACGTTGGCCTCCTACACGAGTTAGATGAACATGCCTGTGGGGATGATTCCGGCATTGTGAAGTCTGCAGCTATTCGTCAGGAAAAGCCGTCCAATAATCCGGGTTGCGAGAAACTCACTGTGTCCGAACATTTCTGACATTCTTGGGACCGTTGAGTAGAAGCGGCTTTTGTTCTACTGGAAGGGCAATTGCTGTTGCGCAAAGTTGCAGCAAGCAGGTTAAGCCAATTGAGAACCTGGAAGGCATTTTGTGGGTGAAAAGAACAGGGCTGCGTCCTGTGATTCTGGTATGGGGCAGCAGGTGGAATTTGCAGCTGGCGTCAAGCATTTAATGACATTGTCGTTCCTTCCTGGGAGCTTCCCCACACGTGCGTCATCTGTGCCTCAGCATTGTAGATCCACCATCGGATCGGGCAGAAGGCGCTGATTGGGTAACCACGGCGCAGAGATAAGCCACAAAGCAGACGTAATTAATGTAAATGTATTCGTCTTGTGCTACTTGCGCTATGGGTATTTCTAAACAAACAGGTACCGCCAAAAGGAAACAAAGAAAGGGCCGATATGAAGGAGCATGAGCGCGACTAAATCAGCAACTCTCGACGTGGTCATCGACCGGAGCATTGCAGAAAGTGTTGCTATCAATGACGAAGCCCATGTTTTGCGAAATCTGGTATTCGGCCAGCTCTTGAGCTCCGCGTCCCGTCATTGTGCCTGTGCAGTCGCTGAGCAAAACACAGTCCCATCCGTACGAGTATGCATCGGACACGGTGCCAAAGACGCATTGATCCGTGTTGACGCCAGCAAAGAGCAGTGTCTGCTTGCCAGATGCCCGCAGATACTCATGGATGGGTTCCTTCTCAGACCAGAGACCACTCATTCTCGTCTTATCGAAAAAGAGATCGCCGGGCTGGGCGACTGCTTGAAACGGTCCGTATAGGGCTGCGTTCCACGTCCGCTTGAACAGGCATCTTCCTTGGCCGTCAGGCAGTTGAGCGCCTAGCCCCACATGCCATCCCAGCGTCTTGCTGAAGCCGCGCTGGATAGCGGGTGCCATCTTGTTCAAGTCATGGTCGGTGATGCCCCAGTTCAGCCAGGCAACTTGGATGCCTTCTTTGCGGCATCTCTCAATGACCTTCAAAGTAGGATCGATTGCAGTAATTCCCGCTGCGTGGTCGCGATACAATGGGTGGACAAAGTAGTTTTGCATGTCAACGACAATCAGAACCGACTTGCCAGGGTCAATCATGAAGCCAGTGTGGTTGCTGCGTTCTTCATCGCACTCGAGAACCATTTTCCGCTCCGCTCCTCGAGACAAGTCGAACTTTTTGGTGGCTGGTAGATAGATCCATTGCCCTTCGCCTCCGAATGGAATGGATGCAGTGCATTTTATAGTTCCTATGGTTATGTCGTGATTCTCTTGGGTAGTGGTAACGGTTAGAGACTCTGGGGCCATGGAAGCTTTGAGAAGAAGACGGGTAAAATGGACTTGACTTGGAAAATGGCCAGAGTCGAAATGGGATTGAGATTGAGATGCGGCTGGGGATGATGGCTGGGTGGTGGTGCAGATATCAGCGCAGGCAGGTGACTTTTGTAGGCCAGGTGCAAACGGCGGTTCTTCCTTTGTTTGCGGTGAGCATGATAACAGGGCTTATCTCTCGATGATAGGCTTCCTTCGGCAGGCAGAGCTTAGGCAGAGCTTGGTCACAGCATCAAGAATGGGTCGGGGTAATCTACACTTATCAGCTTGTGCGAAGGCATGATACCGTCGTCAGGTACACGTGATGGTACCTGGCCTTGATAGCGTGGCCAATGAAGCGGAGGAGAAAAAGGCGATACATGGCGATCAGCCAGCATTCCCCAGGGTGTGGAGATGGCATCTGGAGATCTGGTTTGATAATGGGGTGTGGTGGCAGCTGGGCGTGGCGATAAGGGTGGTGAGCAGCGATAGATAGCCGTGCCGTCGCGGTGCGACTAGTTGTACTACGCCAGGCGCGGGGTCCGACAATACCCGACCGCCGGCGAGAGTAGGCTAGGCTAGTACGAGTAGTGTCGTCCCTCCAAGTAGTGCTATGTAATAATAAGTCACCAGCCTACAGCCCTACATACGTGTCATGCCCTCTTCTCACACGACGACAACAGGCGACCCCATCGAAACCCGACGGGCAGAGTCGTGTTGCTGCCAGTCCAGACATGCTCGCGGTGTGTCAAATTGTGGGTGCTCAACAAGGGGCTGCGGAGCCGTGCGATGAGTTGTTCTGATGGCTTGGCCCACTGCCAGTTTCCCAACACTTGACTGCTGATGACGCTGGTGCTACGACTGCTGGTTTGGCGACCGAGGGGTTATTTTTTTTTCTTATGCCATTTGCATTGCGCACACTGGCTGTCGTGTGCTGCGGGCTGCCGTGCGTTCCATGTCCACATGTATGGACCGTTGTAGTTACATATCCGGGCTTGGGAGCCGGGCGTCATGCACCGCACTTGGTGTGGCGTTTGACAGGGCAGGCCATGGCTCACGGCCAACGCCAGCGACGGCCTCGAGCTCTCCGTGAACAACAACCCTGGGGGGTTGCTTGTCGCGTGTGCTGGCGTCCAGCGCTCCTTTATGCGCAAAAACATGGGTAGCGCGCGGCCAGATTAAGGAGAGTGGTGAGTGCGAGTGCGTGATGTGGGGAGCAGAGTGCCATGCTGGCCGTCACGTGCCCGCCGCCTTGGAACATGAACTTTCAAGCGAAGTGACGACGGAGCTGCAGCAAAGGCCCTCCCGTCCAGAGCCTCTGCTCCCTACAAAGTCGCCGTCACCTATATCTCCCCGCCTGATCCCGCATTTGTATTCTGCACATACCCCTCCTCCCCCCGCTCTGCCTCGACTTTTCCGCCTGCAGCATTCGATTCCGCCATCTGGTCTGGTCTGGCTGCCCGGCAACGAGTCCGTCCCGTGAGGAGCAAAGAAACGACAGATACACAACAGCGCTATGGCGGCGCTGGGCGAGGAACTCCTCAACATTGTCAACAGGCTTCAGGACCTGGTATTCAATACGATTGGAAATGATTCTCTCGATTTGCCCCAGATTGTATGTGCGCCCCAGCCGGAAAAGTGAATGCGGTGAGGGCGGAGCAGATTTTCAACCGCTCCGCTGCATGCTGTCGAGGCGCTGCTAACTGGCCCAGGTCGTTGTAGGATCGCAGTCGTCTGGCAAATCGTCAGTGCTTGAGAACATTGTCGGCAAGGATTTCCTGCCCCGTGGCAGTGGCATCGTCACCCGCCGACCGCTCATTCTCCAACTCATCAACCTCCCCAGCGAACGCGATGAAGACGATGACGATGAAGTCCATGTGCCCCACACGCCCGCAAGTGTTGCGAGCCAGCAGGAGTGGGCTGAATTTCTCCACATTCCTGGCCAGCGCTTCTACGACTTTGCAGACGTCAAGCGCGAGATCGAGAACGAGACGTCCAGGATAGCAGGAAACAACAAGGGCATCAACAGGCAGCCCATTAACCTGAAAATCTACTCGCCTCACGTCTTGAGTTTGACGCTGGTCGATTTGCCTGGTTTGACCAAGGTGCGCGCTTCCGACTTTTTCTGCGTGGCAATCCCAGGCTAACAAACACAGGTGCCCATTGGTGACCAACCCTCCGATATCGAGAAGCAGACACGGAACTTGATCACCGAGTACATTGCCAAGCCAAACAGTGTCATTCTCGCAGTCTCCCCCGCCAACGTCGATCTCGTAAACTCGGAGGCTCTGAAGCTTGCACGTCATGTCGACCCCATGGGCAAGAGGACCATTGGTGTCCTCACAAAGCTCGACCTTATGGACCACGGCACCAATGCCATGGACATTCTCTCAGGCCGTGTCTACCCACTCAAGCTCGGCTTCATTGGTATTGTCAACCGATCACAACAGGACATTCAGGGCAACAAGTCCCTGGCCGATGCCCTACAAGCCGAGCGGGACTTCTTCAGACACCACCCTGCGTACAGGAATATGGCAAACCGCTGCGGTACCCAACTGCTTGCTAAGAGCCTGAACCAAACGCTCATGGCTCATATCCGAGACCGTTTACCAGACATCAAGGCACGCCTGAACACCCTCATGGGCCAAACACAACAGGAGCTTGCGAGCTATGGCGACGTCACCTTCACTGGAAAAGAGCACCGTGGCTCCCTCATCCTGCAGCTCATGACTCGCTTCGCCTCTTCCTTCATTGCATCCATCGACGGTACTTCTACTGAGATCTCGACAAAGGAGCTATGCGGTGGTGCCAGGATATACTACATCTTCAACTCGGTCTTCGGCAACTCGCTCGAGCAGGTCGATCCTACCCAGAACCTGTCCGTATTGGACATCAGGACGGCTATCCGCAACTCGACTGGTCCCCGACCCAGTCTCTTCGTTCCCGAGTTGGCATTTGACCTCCTTGTAAAACCTCAGATCAAGCTTTTGGAGATTCCAAGTCAGCGTTGTGTCGAGCTCGTCTACGAAGAGCTGATCAAGATCTGCCACACATGCGGCTCCACTGAGTTGACAAGATACCCCAGGTTACAAGGAAAGCTTATTGAAGTCGTGTCAGATCTTCTCCGAGAACAGCTTGGCCCTTGCTCGGGTTATGTCGCCTCCCTCATCGATATTCAGAGAGCCTACATCAACACAAACCACCCCAACTTCCTTGGTGCTGCTGCTGCCATGTCATCTGTCATCAGCGACAAGGAACAAAGGGAGAAGAAGATCGCAATGGAGGCTGAGAAGAAGAAGCGAGAACAAAGAAGATTAAAAGAGCTCCAGAACGGTGCCAACGGAGAGGGCACAGAAGACGGCGAAGGTGGCGACAACGCATCGCTGAAGTCTCTTCCTCTTCGAAAACACCAGTCCCAAACCAGCCGTAGCATGTCACCGGCTGTGGGACGAATGGTGAACGGATCTCAGAGCACAACAGCAGCACTCAATAGCCGCAACCGGTCACCCCCCGGTACTGCCCGTGACAGCTTCTTGAACTACTTCTTCAGCAAAGACAGCAACACCGCATATCCTAACCCACAGGGCCTGCCACAAGCAACCCAACCAATGCTTGACAATCGGCCAGGAAGCCGACACGTCACCCAGAACATCGAGCCCAGTTTTGCACAGAGCATTCGGAGAGGTGACAGCAAGCAACCCGCCCATGTGCTGGCGATGATGCCACCAGATACCGATGACTATGACGCACCGTCGAGTGCTGCTTTCAGCGCCCCTCCCCATAGCCCAAATATGGGCGGAGAAAACTTTGAAGGCGGCTTTGTAAGTTTCCATATCAGACCTTGTTGACGCTGAATACTAACTTTACACAGCCCTCCAACCCTGAGCAAGCACCAGCCCTTACAGAACGCGAAGCGCTTGAGACTGAACTTATTCGCCGGCTCATCTCATCGTACTTCAACATTGTGCGAGAGACTGTTGCTGACCAAGTGCCCAAGGCGATTATGCATCTGTTGGTCAACCACTCCAAGGATGTTGTACAGAACCGTCTGGTGTCTACGCTGTACAAGGAAGATCTCTTCCAGGAGCTGTTGTACGAGGATGACACGATCAAGGCTGAGCGCGAGAAGTGCGAGAAGCTGCTCAAGACGTACAAGGAGGCTGCCAAGATTGTCGGCGAGGTATTGTAAGAGAAGCAAGGGTTTGACGATGAAATAAAACGGCATAGCTTCACTGCAGGTTGTTGAAGATGTGCAACTGTGTGTGTCTTTGCGGCTTGGCTGCAAGGGATCGGGGTAAAGGCAGTGTCAAGCGCTTGGGAGGCGAATTGGGGAAAGGAAGGGCCGCGCAGCGTTCATGTTGCTGCGGCCCACTTGTCTCGTCTCTCTTTTTGCGCTTTTGGCATTTGATACTCCTCTGTTTGGAAAACCACTCCACTGCTCTTGTTTTTGTCTTGTTGTTTTTTTCCTTTTGGATTGGATACGTCTCGAGAGTTGCATGGCACTTTCTTCTCATGGGCTCTGGTTTTGGCTTTTTGTTACGAATTAACGCCCATGGGTGGTTTTGAGAGAGCGGGGCCAGGTGATGAGCTGAGATGAGACATGTATAGAATACAACGTTTTCTGATATTAAAGACATTGACTTGGGCCGATGAACACGTGACATTGTAGGCGGCTCTGTGGTATGCATGCTCTTCTGTTGTTGTGCTGCTGTTTTATCTCTATTCACCATCAATTGAGTGGGGGTCGTTGATTGGGTTGACCCGTGTGCAACACTGATATGAGAAGAGAAACGGAGGGGGAGAGCAAGATGAAATAAAGCAAGCCGACGGGGTGCCATAATTCAAAACTTGGAAGCATGTGTATTTGAAAACGTTATCAACCCGACGTCTATGTTGTACAAAAAGGGCACAAAAAGTACCGGGAGATTGGTATCTCGTAGATGTCGTACGACTATTGACTAGTTATCCTCTCTGTCTCTCTCCCCCTCTTTCTCCCAGTCGTCTTCTGGGCTTGGCAAAAAAGGGGACAGCCGCATTATGTCCATGCTAGGGTAGGAAACAATGAAGCCCTTTCTCTGACTAGGCTTATTTGTCGGTTATGCCGAGGAGGGCGTGTAGATCGGCATTGGGGTCTTTTGGGTCGGCCTTGGCTGTTTTTTAAACCCATCAGTTAGTAAAAAAGATGAGTTTTGGCTGAGAAATTTGGCATAGCGAATAATGACGCACCTCCCGATGATTTTGGCTGTTCTGAAGGGTGGTCTCGTGCCCATTGCTCCTTTGCTTGTCTGATCAACGCCTGTTTGTGGTCCCACTCCTTTTGTGCGGCCTTTGCCCGGTCGGCGGCAGAGAGCGAGAGCTGGTGGTAGGCACCGTAAAAGACGCCCAGGCCGAGTGCGGACCACCGGAGGACCTGTCATTGCAATCCATTAGCCGTCATTGTCAATATATCTGGTGGTCTTGCGGGACTCCAGCGAAGCTCATTGTTCTGAATATTTTGGGGGGATCCTTTGGCGGGATGGAGGGGGCTGAGCGTACGTTGACACCGACGGATGTGGACATGGTGACGGTTTTTGGGGGGGGGGCGTGTAAGAGGGCTTGGGATAACCGTTGTTCTTGGTCGTCTATGTCCAATGGCAGATATTCCAGACGAGACGGTGGTGTAGACGCCGGGGGGATGGGATCCGGGGCGGCAGGACGAGGGGCGTCGGGGCGGATGCGGGTTGTTGGGCGTTGCAGAGCTGTCAAAGTTGAGGTTGGACCTGGCGCAAGATTTGGTCGGGACTGCCGCCCTCGCTGCGAGCTAGTGCGTCCCTCCCCCCAGTCCCTGAACACTCACCAACTGAACACTCCGCTTGGCGCGACGACGTAGCCACATAACAACCACACGCCACGCTGTTTTATTTTATTTTTTGCTGCTGCGGTCACTGGGCGCAAGAACGCAGAGAAAGACAGCATAAATCAAACAGCCATTCACACGCATGGGATTATATAATCAGTAACACGGCAACAAACATACAGATACCCAAACACATACACCGCATACACACTGGTTCCCCTCCACATCTCCGCCATGGAGTCGACAATGCAACAACGGCGGGATGAGATCCTCGCGAAAAAGGCAAAGCTCGCCGAGCTGAAGCGCCAGCGCGAACTGAGAAAAGCAGAGTCGGCGAGCCGGCAGTCGACAACGGGCAGTCCGCTGGGGGAAGTCCTCTCACCAACACCAAGACGAAGCGAAGACCTCGATCGGAGAACTGATGTCAACAACCTCATCAACAGCATTCTCGGCGAGAGCAGGCCTGGATCAACTGGACCTGGCTCGCCCGCCGGTCCAGGGCGGGCGACCCGACCGACATCAGTCGTCAGCGCAGGCCAGCTTAGCAGCGATGAAGGCTCCGCCGGCTTCCCGCCATCTGCTGGCATGATCGACCGAGAGATGCAGACGCTTTCGATTGGCCCACTAGCTACCGTGTACGAAATCGACGGCCAAGTCACAAACGAGGTCAAGAAAGAAAAGGAGATCATCACCTACAGCAAGGGAGTGCAGGCGAGCATAGAATGGAGCCCCTCAAAGGAACGCCGCGCGGGCGGCAGCGACAGCGAGCGCGACGATAGCCCTACACGATCACCCAAGAGCAAGAGGCTGAGCAGGAGACAAAAAGAGCGTGAGGAGGAGATTCGAGCCCAACTGCGCAAGGAGATTGAGGAAGAGATCAAGGCAGTCCAACAACCACCCCAGGAAGGCGCGCCACAGCCGGGATCAGACGAGAACTTTCCCTTCAAGACTCTCACAAATGAGGAACTCACGGCCGTGGAGAACTCGGAGGAATTCATTGGCTTTGTAGAGCGAAGTACAAAGGTGTTGGAGCGGGCTCTCGACCAACAACTAGGCTATGACATTCTCGCCGACTATGCGCATGCAGGTGTGGATGTCGACGACTCGGATGAAGGCTACGGCTCGAGTGGAGCAAAGAAGGGTCGGCGAATAAGGGAGGTTGCGCAGTTCTGGGACGAGCGGTGGAGCAAGAAGCGAATGATTTCCGATCTGGGCTTCTCCACAAAGGTACGGAATACCGTCTTGTTTCACAGAATCACTATTAACAACAAACTTGAAGTTTCCTGAACTCGTCCTCGCCTCGTATACAAAGAACCCATCTGCTCCGCACGACCCGGATGGTCTTGTCCAAGTCTGGAACCTGCACATGCATGATCGACCCGAATACATCTTCCACGCCCAATCGGATATTCTTACTGCCAAGTTCTCTCCATTCCATCCGAACCTCATTGTTGGCGGTGCCTACTCTGGCCAAGTGCTGTTATGGGACACTCGGGCCAAGTCTGCACCTGTGCAAAAGACACCCCTTACAGGATCTGGTCATACACATCCCGTTTACTCACTAGACATTGTCGGTACACAGAATGCCAACAACATCATCTCGTGTTCGACGGACGGCGTTGTATGTGGCTGGACAGTCGACATGCTTTCGCAACCACAAGAATTCCTCGAACTTACATCGCCGCCCCCAGCAAAGACGGACGACATGGCGGTGACTAGCATCGCCTTCCCTCAATCGGATCCGACATATTTCCTTGCTGGCACAGAAGAAGGCTCCATCTATCCGTGCCATCGCTACGATCGTGCAGGTGCAAAGGCCGGTGTGGATGGGCGTGTCAAATACGCTGGTCACGCTGCGCCTGTAATGAGCTTGGACTTTCATCCAGCAAAGGGCCAGATTGATCTTGGCGATCTTGTGCTATCATCCAGTGTCGACTGGAGCGTCAAGCTATGGAAAGTGCGGCCCCCAGCCGCCACGGGCGCGACCAATGTCACTCTGCCAGGCGCCGCACAACAAGTCACGCCCGTGCTGGACATTGCGCGTGAGGATCTTGTGTATGATGCGCGATGGTCGCCTGTCAAGCCCTCTGTGTTTGCTCTTGTCGATGGAGCAGGTAGCCTTGAAGTGTGGGACATCAACGTCGACGTCGAAGTGCCTGTACAGTCTATCAAGCCTAGTGATAGCAAGAGAGGCGCATTCACGAACATGCCGACGGGCTTAGGATACATGAACAGAAGTCTGAATAAGCTAGCGTGGGAGAAGAATGAGGGCAGGAAGGTGGCTGTTGGTGGCATGGATGGCGTTGTCACCGTATTTGAAGTTGGCGACGACTTGGGTGGTGTACAGACGAGGAGCGAGGAGTGGAGCGGCGTGAAGAGGCTTGTGAACCGACTTGAAGGGCATGGCGATGGTGCGAACGGGAAGTAGGCTTTGCATGGTCAACTCGCTGAGATTTATCATGGAGGGCAGACAGTCCACAATGTGCCAAAACTTTGCGATAATACCCCAAATTTCCGTAAGCGGAAACCTCGTTGTTGACCAGGACGAGATTGATTGCTTTCTAACATACCCCCAATGTAGTTATTAACAGAGTTTCTCTTGTTCATATCTCTTCACTAACTCAATGGCTCATGTCTATCGTTTCTGCTTGACGGATCGCTTGCATCAGCAAAATTCATGGATAAAGCCAGGACGTACAGTATGTATGCCTGTACATTTGAGGGGAACTTGGTGAGGACGGCCCGTTAGCGCACCAAACTACTGTTGTCGATTGCGTGTCACTCTGCACGCGGCTCTGCCCTCCTGCCAGTCAGATAGGCTAGGACCCCTGTTGCGCACCGCCACACCACAAGCCACACATGCATCTCCTCCACACCTCATACATCATCTACCCGGGCTAGCGGCCTAGCAGGTTTCCTGTCACAAACAGTATCGGGGCTCCGCGGCTGCTTCGCTCTTTTTCTTCTGACCCAAAAAAGAGCTGAGCTGTCTTGTTTGACCTTTGCTGTTCATTCATCTAGACGGGTTCTAATGCTTTTCTCCTTAGAAAGCGACGTCTATCTTTCTCAATTGAAGATATGAGCAATGCTTCGTATTGCGTTGGCTCTTCTACCCGCGCTGTCATGGCCGGCTTTTTTCCAGTCGCCACAGCAGCAGCAAATCAAACATGAACAAATGTAAACTAGTTATAACTATCCTTTGATTGTTGTTTTCCTTGATTTTGGTTCCATTGCACATCATCAGAGCAGAAACAAGGGAGACAAGAAATGATGAAGTAACAAGGCTAACTTTGGTCACGATAAATTCTAGTGCAATAACTTCCTGTATGGCAGCAGTCAAGAGCAACTTCCCTTGCCATACTACACCTACGCCAGACTACGCGTGCCTGTGCAGCCAGTACCTCTGGCGCATCTCGTGCTACGAAAACTACGCCTCGGGGCCGTGGGCCCATGCAGATCGCGCCATCACAGAAGGAAACGTTCACAACACTTGCCGCGCGGCAGGTAGTGTAGCAGTGGATCAGGTTCAAAAGGAGCACGCACGGCGAAAACGGCAAATAGGCGACTTTTTGTCGAGTATTGTGGGTGATGTATCGTCGATTCTGTCAAGCAAGGGCGTTACAGTTCCTACAGCCGTGATTGAGAGTGTGGCTGGCGGAGTGGTGAATGCCTTGCCGACGCCCGTGGATCCGACAAGTATTGCAGCCAGGATCACGGCAACAAGTGCAGTTGGAGAGGAAAATGGATCCATGACAGTCACAGAGATCGGAACTTCTACTTCTTCGTCGACTAGGGGAGCAACTTCTGCGTCATCCTCAGAAGGACCGGCTTCTTCATCTTCTGCCACTTCCCCACCGCCATCCCCATCGAATTCAAACTCAGGGCCCTCGGCAGGTCTCATCGCCGGGGTGGTCGTAGGAGCCATCGCAGCCCTTGCCCTGATTGGAATCTTCATCCTACTCCTCCTTCGGCATCGCCGGAAAACCAAGTGCCAACCTTCATCGCCATTCACAGACAAAGAAGCTAGTCCCACGATATCATCATTGTCTTCCAATGGCCATGTACCCCAAGTCGACACTTCCTCGATATTTCCTACTCCTACGGTACTACCCGCAGGCACAACCACGGCCCTGGCATCCCCAGAGCCCGCACTGCGCTCCCCAATTTCCCCAGTCTCTCCCATCATTCCGCAAGACCAAGCACCCTGGATATCCTCTCCATCAACACTTGCTGGTGGAACCTTGCCCAGATATCCCTCTTCTGCCGGTAACACACCCTGGGACTCTCACTACTACTACCAGGATTCTAAAACACCGCAAACCACCGAGATGCCCACATTTGCTAATGCCTGGGAGCTGGATGGTAAGGAGATATCGCATCTGGGTGAGTTTGGCGCTGCGCAAGAGAATCAATTGGATGGAGATGGCGGTGTACGGAGAGAAGGCCGGGGACGGGAATGTGTGACGGATTATCGAGCTGGTGAGGAGAATCGTTTGAAAGGAGAGTTTGTAGGGAGTAAGCCGGTTGAGAGGGGCTGGTGATACAGCTGAGTGACTGGTTATCTTGCTCTTTGTCATGGACTACAAGATGTCACCTCACGAAGGTTGCCGTATAGACGCAATAGATACTCGAGACATTGAGTATTTTTGCTGCAAGGAAACAGAGTTTAGGGAGAAATTCATCCAAGTTGCGACGTAAAACTTGCGTGCAACATGGGCAATAGAGATTAGCTATCAAAGTATGTCAGTAACATACTGTGCGGAGATCAGAAAAATGATCTGCAATATACATTGCAATTTCTCTCTAACAAGGTCCCCTGTATAGCATTCGCACACTTCGTAACGGTAGTGAAGGCTCCTACCATGTCTAAAGTGTCTTTTGCAAGAATCCATGAAGGTTTCGTATAGTTGCAAAAGATATATCTCATCTGTTTAATAATCTTGGCTCCAAATACCATAGATCCGTCACACTAAAATGGCGTCCTTCTTGGTGGAATGCGCTAGTTGCGGATGCACGCAGCTTATTAATTGCGCGCGTTGAGGCTTGCTATGAAGCTACTGCAACTCTATAGTAGTGCTTGATTTGTCCGTGAGAAGCGCGCAGAAACGAGGCCCCCAACGTGCAACCAGCTAACTTAGCAAGGACGTAACGCCGACTTTCCAACCAAGCATCGCCCAGCATACTCGCGAACCATGCTCCCGCATGAAATGTTTCCTATTATTAGAGGCACCCGGTAGAACATAGAAACAGGGTGAAAAAGTTCCCGTAGCATGCATGACCTATTAGACCTGCGTGTGATTAATATACAATATTGATGTGGTAAGACCAATTACTACATCGAGTAATCCTACCAACGTAAATCCAGCCGCTGACCAAAAACAGAGTTTTTCGCCTATTGTCATCATTACCTGCAGGATCATGTTTACTCGACTGGATCACTTAGCAGCAAATAGTCAAGACTGTCAAAGCCAGTCATGCAGACCGACGATCGGGTAGAGCCGACTCCGGAGAAAGCTTGTTTTATTGGATGATCATCATCTGTACATTGTACAATGCGGAACGGACGGCTTTGGAGAATATGAAAGATTAGTCAAAAAATCTTCTAGCACGTCCGTCGGGTTGCACAAGAGTCAAGGTCTTCAGGCTAGACTTTGATGCAGTAACAAGGTACTAATGCTTGATAATACCTACCTTGACCGAACTACGGCATGGGACTTGCACCTCGCCTATTATACGAATGGGTATACGGCAAACCCTGGTAACAATGGAGGCTCACGTGTATTCCACGGGTAGCCTGATATTCTTCTGGGACTACACTGTAAGACCTAGCATATGTTCTTGAACAACTCCGTTACTTCCGACTTCACACTTGTACAAATACGGTCGTTGCTAAATGATGTCGCAATGCTGATCCATGCTACATAGGCGTGAATAGAACGTCGATGATGATACTATCCACTTAATCACAGCCCTCGAGTACACATAAAACTTCATCTCTCTTCCATCTAAATCCTCAGCATCGAGCTGAACATATCCTTTCGCCCCTCTTCTATCCCTTTCGAAATCATCCAACTCCAAGCAACCAAGCCTCAACCCAGCACAGAAAAAAACCATAATGCAGTTCTTCTACGCCCTTCTCCCTCTTCTGCCCCTTGCAGCCGCGAACGGCCGAGTCCGCTTCAACGCATTCGACCACATCAACTGCCAGGGTTTCGAAGAAAACTACGACCTCAACCCTGCAACAGTAAAGGGCAACTTTCCAGGTAAATAAAGACCTTTGAAATTTCATCAGATGACTGCACACGTTTTCTAATGACATCCAAAGGCCCCCGCGGAGCTATCCAAATATTGCAAACTTCCCCGGGATGCCACATCACGCTGTACACTGGCTACAACCAGTCGCCAAACGATGGTAGTCGTCTTGCTATTCCTACCGACAATGCTAATTGCTACTTTAATGGCAATGGGTTTGAGCAGTATCATAGCTTTGGATATTACTGCCCGTAGACTACCTACAAACAATTGTTGCTGCCGATAGATAAATAAAGGTACAAATGAGGTTACTATATTGCCTAAGGCTGCCAGAATATGATATACATTGTGTCCGAGAAAGTATAAGACGTACCATACATGGATGTGAATATTCGAGTGAGATTGGCGTTGAAATATAACCTATAAGGGATTGCTTGATATACTGGACTTCCTCGACAGCGTATCGGCGCTGACAAGGGACTCGATTACATACACATTGCGAAGCCTGGTAATACTCTCAACGAGATAGATCCATCAAAGCTACTACGAGACAAACGTATCATGATGCAAGATGTCTAACCCGAGAATGAAGTTGGAAGAATCGCCTTGAGCGATTCTCTAAGTTCAATTTCGGTTTAGCAAGATCGACTATATATCTAGAGTCTAGTGCTTTACTAGTTAGTATGCTCGCGAATATAGGGTACCTAAAATAGCGAGATATAGTAATTTTTATCTCTGAGATTACTATACTCAGCAGTTACTCATGCGAGATTAAGAAAGCTTCTATGGTGCAAAAACTTACAAATCACGTTTTTATAAACCGAACGTTAAAAGAAAAGTAATTCATTACTGGAATCATTTTCAAACATCTCAAAGCTATTAAAGTTTTCGAGAGAGGAATTTAACCTCTGAATATCATTCGGTCCTTCAGTATCACCAAGAAAACCCACTCCACTACCCCTCCGCGTTTACCACATAAGGGCCGAATAGTAATATTGCTTGGCCGATGACGCACGGCATTGCATAGATAACAGCAGCAGTGGGTGCAGATGGATTGGATCGGCAAAAACTGAGGCTAGACTAAGGTGATAGATGTCCGGCTAAATGGCCAGGATTCGATACACCGTACCTGCCTAATCAGGCTAGAATCCCGGACTGAACACTACGGAAGCGTACTTGGCGGCGGCATTAAGCTCGCACAAGCACTCAGCGTCGTATGCTTGTGTACGAGTCGCGCGGGGTATTTGGTGAATGCAGCCATTCCCATCTTTTTTGAGTTTATGTTTTGGGCACTTATCGATCTTTGCTACTTTGATTTGAGTTTTGTGATTGCAGTATACTAGCGCTACAACATGGTCCCTTACGACTGTTCGCCGGATAGCGGTTCGCTACGCCTTTTCTGGCTATATGTGGATCCAACCGAAATCGACGCTGCAGATACGGTCGATAAATGATGTCAACCGTAGTTCAGACCGCCTAAAGGGCCAATGATCCGGGCTGCTAGTACGTAGATAAGCAGGCAATTAACCAACATGAGAAGGTGGGAACGGTACCATGTGCATAGGGCGTAACCAGGTTGGAATCATAGCCTTGATACATATATACTGGCGCTCTACGCTGTGTCGCACTCTACCGAGTTGTTTCCTTTTACTCGGGTGTATCGACTGCCGCAAGACTTTCGGAAGCATCCAAAAGGTATTAGAGTTTGTAATTTTGTTCTTTCATTTACACGCTGACATGTTGTGACTACAGCCATCTGCATCGAGAAAGCCTCATAATGAAGAGGACGAGTGCGCTGTTGGCTGCGCCTTTATTGGCAGCGGGTGCGCTTGGGCAATTTGTGCCTGCGCCTACTGATCTCATAACCAAGGAAGGGTATGCAAATGTTAGCGTGCGCTACAAGCAGGTACCGGCTGGTATCTGTGAGATGAACCCGGATGTGAAGAGCTATTCGGGCTACGCAGACGTCGGGGAAAACCAGCACATTTTCTGGTGGTTCTTCGAGGCGCGCAATCAGGATCCGAAAGATGCCCCTTTGACGGTAAGTATTTTTTCTATTCGAAAATGCATGCCGAGGTCTGATTTGACTTTTCTGTTTGCAGATTTGGATTAATGGAGGGCCCGGATCGAGTTCCATGATTGGGCTGTTTCAAGAACTGGGGCCGTGTGGTGTTGGGCCGGACTTGAAACCTTATGATAACCCGTACTCGTGGTCCAACGCGAGTAATATGCTTTTTATCGATGAACCTACGCAAGTCGGTCTTTCATACTCGATTCCAATCCCAGCCTACAACGACGGTACCTATATCATTGAGCTACCGAACGCGACATGTCCGGACTATGCTGCAAAATATGGAACATGTGGAACGTATTCAAAGCCAGATGTTAGCTTGACGGCCAACACTACTCAAGGAGCGGCGCCAAACATGTGGAAGACATTGCAGGGCTTCATGGGAGCATTCCCCGAATACTCGCGCCACGGCGTCAACTTTGCGACGGAGAGCTATGGCGGACACTACGCGCCCGTGTTTAACTCTTACTTCCTGGACCAGAATGCGAAAAAGATTCCTGGTGCGCACAATATTGAGCTGGAGAACGTGTTGATTGGCAATGGGTGGTTTGACCCGCTTGTTCAGTACCAGGCGTATTACAACTATAGCGTGTATCCTGGCAACACCTATGACTTCGATCCGTACAACCAGACGGTCAAGGACGAATGGTTTAACAATTTGTACGGCCCAGGCAATTGCGTTGACCGAATTAAGCAGTGCTACGAGACTGGTAGCAATGCGGTGTGCGCGACGGCGGATCAGTTCTGTGCTTCCAAGGTGGAGTTTTTGTACGACACCTACAGCGGACGGGACGAATACGACATGCGGGAGTTGACGCCGGATCCGTTTCCGTACTCGTATTTTGAGACCTACCTCAACTTGCCTGACGTGCAAAAGGCAATTGGAGCCTTCCAGAACTTCTCGACCAGCTCTAGCACAGTCAGCTCGTCATTTGGCAACACGGGCGACGACGGTCGCGAGTCTGGTACGATTGAGGCGTGCCAGAAGCTGCTTGCTGCAGGCGTTCAGGTCATGCTTTACTATGGAGACGCGTAAGTTTGGACAATGCCATGATTGAGACAGGATAGGATTTGCTAACCTTTTGAGCAGCGACTACAACTGCAACTGGCTGGGTGGTCAAGTCGTGGCGGACCAAATCAAGGCCAAGGGGTACTCGAAAGCCGGCTTTACCAACATTACTAGCAGCGACGGCGTTGTGCACGGGCAGGTGAAGCAGTCTGGCCTCTTTTCGTTTGTACGCATCTACGAATCGGGCCACGAGGTGCCCTTTTACCAGCCGCTCGTGTCTCTAGAGATGTTTGAGCGCGCATTGAAGCGGTTTGATGTTGCGACGGGCAAGAAGAAGCTGAGTCACGACTACATGACGGTGGGCACACCGACGAGCACCTACAGGGAGGGCAACGCGACCATCCAGATGAATGTGACTCCATCCAACGCGACGTACAATACGACACTGAATGCACCCAACCCGACCCTGGGCAGGCGGGACATGGTCAAGCAGTTGTGGCGGCCAAAGATGAGTCGGGTTAGACAGCGAGTTCTTTGAAGGGCAAAGGGAGGTAAGGCGAATATAAGAAGATATCAGGCTTCATGGCCTTTTGGTTGAATAAACCAGTACTCAATTCTAATCTCATAAGGTTCTTTATTTCCCAGTGGCGCGTGAGGCTGATATTACTTATTTGGTGATGTTACTGGGTATTACGAGACTACTAAGCGTATATATAAGTAGACGACCATGACAGCGCTGTATATAGGATCGTAGGCTATTTAAATGCCTACTTTCTTATTGCACTTATTTCCTATTTTTTCTAAGTCATACGTCTACCAGTTTTTTAGTATCCAACGTTCAGTTTTAGTAGGGGACTTCTACCGAGACCACCTCATGCAAACGGCCCTCTGAACTCTCTCCCTGATTGTGCTTTTCGGTACTCGTTCTTGACTGGGGTCTTTTTCTCTTTAGGAGAATGTTGTAGTGGATCCTGAGGTTCTACACGCTCTCCTTTCAGAAACTTCCTCACCCACTCGTTGCCAGGCTCCGATTTTCGGATCTCTTCACGTTTTTCCTTCAACCATTTCCTGTCTAGTTCATTCATAACGGACTTTTCCAGCTCCGCCATGCGCTTCACTATCAGAATCTCCTTCGACTCGGGGCACATCCGATGCAACCAATCATGCATTGATTCCTTGATACAGCTTTTAGCAGGGTCTTTGCCGACGAGTTCTGAGTATGACTTACGGTAGTAATTTTTGGTATGAAACAGGCAACAATTTCCCACTTATCCCTTCCGTTCTCCAGCCATCGTTCAACCAACCGATGCATTGCGTAGTCCCAAAATCTTGCAGCCTCAAACGAATCTGGCTTTCTGATATCTCGAAGCCAACCTTTCTCATTGTCGTTTTCTAGAGCTTCAGCAACCCTTTTCTTGGATAGCCAGGATTTGATGTCTTCTCGAACCTCGCGAAAGCAGTCGCCCATCATAGCCCTCAAGAACTTATCTTTGCTCCACTTATCAATCATCCCATCCCTTCGAAGTAGCCTCACAAAACAGGCTCCTATTGACTTTACCTGCTTAGGTGATGCTTTGCGAACGTCAGCCTGCTCGATCAGCCGAAAGAGATTTTTGTGAGTAAACCGCCGTATTCGATCGGTATCAAAACCCTGAACATCCTCGCAAAGAGCTTTCAAAGACATGTTTAGGATATGGATGTGGGATTCGCTAACGTCAAGCCGTATGGTAGCCTTCCGCCGACCGCGTCGCGATTCGAAGAAGTCCGCAAATCCATATCTGTCATATAGCTCCTGCCCGTGTGTTCCAAGTGTGTTTGTCAAGTTTGTACAGACAATCTTTTCAAGGAGATCAAGTTCCTCGAGATCTACGCCTTCGTATCGTTTGCCTCGCTTTTTGTGGATCTCATCCATCGTCTTGTCGTCTTTGGCACTTTCGATTAGATGTTTACTCATCATCTCGTAACGCCAGGTGATGATGTTATCGGTATCTACTACGAACAGAGTATGATACCTCTTCTCGATCTGGATCTTGAGACTATAGAGGAGTGGTGTTTCGAGCGACAGATCAACGTATTGCTCGATTACATCAAGATTGAGCGGACAGCCAATCGAGGAAAAACTCTGAACGCACATCTATAGTGCATTGACCACCAGTATCTCATCTGGATGCAGAGTCTTATTCAATCTTTCAATCTGTCTGTAAATCTTTACTGAGGTGTCGTCGGTCAATTGTCTGATAATTTTGTCAAGCTGCCGTTGGTTGACACACTGCTCGAACTCGCGGAGCAAAAGATCGAGGCGCCAGAAACAGTTTTGCACATTTTGCGAAACTTTGGCTTTTATCAACTGGTTCTTGGACATTTCTGACAGTGATGTGTCATTCCGAAAGATGGGCAGCTGGAGGAGGCGCTCGCTGATAACCTCTTGGACATCATCAATGTTGGGCACTAACACTTCGTTATTTGGCCCAGGGACAAGCGAGATTTTAGTCATCCCTTTGCCATCCGGGAGTTTCCGATTGATCTGAGGGACGGTGGTCACGAATAACCGAAGTTGTAGACCATCCTTTGATTGGCGCTCTGTTTGTTGGCTTGTGAGGGTTTCGATAACCGATGAGAGCGGCGAGGCATCAGCCGAGCTCTGCACTCCATCTATGACCATGAAAAACGTTGTCTCATCCTTGGGTTCATATTTAACAACGAGATTCTGCCAGATTTCGTCCATGGTATTATTTCCAACATTTTTCTTACAGGCTTTGGCTAAGAAATCTCGATAGGCACTGTCAGCTTGCGCAAGCTGCCAAATCGTCGATTGAAGTCCCTGATTCAATTTTGATACATCCGTTTTATCAGACAACGATCCTTGTAAATATTGGAATGCTACGAAAGCTTTTGAGGAATATGTTGCGTCTGTCGTTCTCTTCTGGAGGTGCTCTACCACGGCTGAGGCTAAGAATGTCTTCCCGCAACCTGATTCACCAATCACCAATATCATTGGTGGAGTGTTTTTCTCAATGTCACTCCAACTAACAAAGGCTTCATTTCTTGAAAACAGCCAGTGACCGGTATTCTCCACGCGCTCTTCGGCGATCTGAGCATGGCGGCGCCGCGCTAAGTCGACAGTATCGAGATTTAGCGAGGAGTGGATAAGAGACAGTTTCCCCTTTGCTTCCTGGTTTTCTTCCAGTCTCTTCAGACTGTTTCTGGCATCTTCGTCATATCTGAGAATGAGATCTAAGTCGGTCTTCATAGTGCGGATATCTTGTGCAGCTTTGGAAAGATCCTTCCCGATTACTGAAACTTGTATGCGGACAACATCTGATACCCGCGTCTCGAGCATGGCCAATGCTTCTGTAACACCGCTCCCATCCCCGAGTAGTAGTGTCTTTGCAAAAGCCTTCACTTTGAACTTCTTGGATTTAAATTGGACAGTCAGGGTCATAATGGCCATGAAATGCTCAAGAACACGATAGACGCTTGGCCTTAGTCGCTCATCCAGCGTAACACATCTGTCATCTTGGTCTTCGATATAGACATTGAGTTGCCGGAGGAATACGGATACTCGCTCCAGAAGTAGAGTCAAGTCTTCGAAGATCTTCTTGTAGTCTTGCACGGCGACAATGACAAAGTTGAGGGCGTTGAAGCATTGTTCACTCGGCCCCAAGGCCATTCCTGCCAGAGGAGATATGATCTTCCCAAGTTTCTGAACGAAACTTAATGTATCATTGACAAAGTCTTTTGCTCTTGATTTCGTTGCTGGTTTCGCCTCCTTCGGATCGATCTTGCTGATAACGTCTTCGATTGACAGTTTTTTTACCTTGGCCCAGTCCAGGTTTGCCTCCTTGCTGAATTCTTGTACCACTAGCCGCCATGTCTTCTCGAGGTCATTATCGGTTGATAGAGTAAGATTCGAAGACATGATAGGCCTAGGATTCAAGTAGAGACAGTATTACTCGCAAAGACTACTGTAATGTCGAATGCTGGAAAAATAATGACAACGAATGTGTTTTGCTGTGTAGTGTGTTAGGATGTAGACTTGTGAAGAAGGAAAATCATGGCATTCTCGTACTAACGCCAGGAAAGACATATCAAGATTGCGCTTATTTATGCACTAGCCCCGCACATCAGTATTGCTTTTTTATAGTGACCTTACATTTCGGTATGTCTTCGTCGCGTGCACTTTCGTGTCAACGCTTTATAGGCCAGATCACAGATATGGAGAAGAGACTATCTTTTGCAGATGGGAATAGTCTTGCTCGTATTGAATCCCGGGATGAGATCAGCAATGGGTGCCTTTTGTTGGCTGAGGGGATCTGAGGCGTAGCAGTCGAGCTGACTTTTAGTGGTTGTGTTAGTATGTACTACTACGTATGTGCTACCGCTCAACCTTGTGGTGCATCTTTGCAAGCTGCCTAGATCCAATGGGTACGGTTGCAAGCGCTCGCTCAAGGCAGCGTCTGCATCGTCTTTACTGGAAGAAGATACAGTCTGCACGCTTTCAATCCTCTCTCCTCAGCTCGTTATTTCCTACTGCATGTCTCGAGCGGTCGGCTCTGCTGTTGTTATCTTTAACGCAAGCCAATAACATAAGCGACGCCAAACATGTGACAAGGGATCTTCGCGCGCCACTGCCAATTCCAACGAGGAATTCGGAGGTATAAAACTGACAATTAAATCCTATAGAATATGAAATGTGGGCCTGGAAACGGTGAACAGAAGTTAGTGTAAAGGTAATATCTTGTTTTTACCAAGTGGTAGTTAACCTAGCCACAACATCATCCTAAGCGTTTTTCCGGGCTGTATCTCAAAATTTGAAGAACAAGGGCAGGGAAAGACTGCACTACCACTTCCATCTTCTTTTGTTTGATGCTCTCCAACGAATCAGAATCAGTAACCCATACTTCCTCTCCCTACTGCTCGCTCAATCTCTTCCAACATAGCCTGCGCTCCCTGTGCGCCCCTCGGCGTTCCCCGGGGAAACTTGTATCGCCCATCCACACCACCAGGCGGATCCACAAGCTTGCCTTGCGAAGAACCAGTGAAAAACGGTATCTGGCCATCGTAGACTCGAATCGGGCTCAGCTTCTCTAGAGACCGGGAGTCGAGATCATCAAACAGTTGGCTGAGGACACGCGCGTAGGCTCTTGTGAAGCCCATGTACGGGCCCCCTCCGCGATAAGGTATGTTGGCAGGGTCCTCGGCGTCCACTACAGTAACCCACGGCTCCAAGTCCAGGTTGGGGACTTTGCCGCGAACAAAGTCTGGCGCATTCAGCAGCGAAGCCAGTACGGCTTCGTCGATGACAATGAACACATCGCGCCGGACGTCCGAGGGCCACTCTTCGTCGTTATCGTCGTCTTCATTTCTCTCCCGGCCAACAAAATCCGCGATCCACTGGTTGAAGGCCTTGCGGACTGAGGCATGGTCAGCCCCGTGTAGAAGAGCACTATCAGATATGACGGGTAGCGTAAACGTGTCGGGATCCATCTCAGCCCCGCTATCTGACGGAGTAGCGTAGTCGTGTAGCTTCTTTAAGGCGGCAGCCCACTGCGCGTCGTCGTTGTCATTGGCGTAGGCGGTGCGCACAACGACAAAGCCCCATTGGTGAGTGAGGCTTTCCATTGCGCTGCGGAACTGCGCTGAAAGACTACTGAGATCCCGGGGTTGTGATTGCTCCGCCATTGTGAAGCTGGCCGTACTTAGTGGGTGAGAGAGGTGAGGGCGTGGAGCAATGTCAATTGTCGAAGCGGGGGCGGGGCAACTGAAAGGAGGCCTAATTAGTTATTAACCGGTGCAGACGAAATTGGTGTTCGATTCAGGGGCGACCGAGAAGGTCTCTGGCATATCTATGTTATTTATCCGTTTGAGTATCTATCGCCTTGGGCGTCTATTGTGTCGAAATGAGGCAGGTCCAACTTGTAAATGAAACGCCAAGCCAATTGCAACAAAACCCACACAGAGGCTGAAGACGTAAACACGCTACAGTGACATGAGCTATTTATAATGAGCTGCATACGACTGAACTAGGCACACAGGCATGGAAAAATGTGCTAGAATGAGTTTAGTGAGGATATCGGAGCAGTGAAGGAACAGTCTCAATAAAATTTACTATACAGGCGCTGGCCAAACCATGACTACCACTATATCAGATTCGTAGTGTCAATGGAAATTTCCCCATTGGTAATACCAAGCGTTTCCAAACGGGTCAGATGCTGGTTGACCTGTAGTGCTCTCGCCTGATACGTTTCGTCGTTGGGATTGTTCAACGGGCTCCATGCCCGGCGCATATCCGCAATGGCACCGCGCACCCACGTACGCGTATTTGACGCCATATCTTCCAGGTGTTCTTTGAACCAAGTATCCCAGCAATCGCGTATGTTGACCCCAGCATTGGGGTGCCCAAAGTTGTATGCATCAGATGCTCGCTGGAACTCTTCTCGGAGTACTCTGTTGATGCCCCTGAGCTTAGGTCGGACATATGGATGGTTCAGATAGTTAAACACAGCAATTGCCTGATTGCGTCAGTATGTTGATCACTCGTGATGGTCCGTCATACTCACATCTCGAATCGACTGTAGTGCTTCCCGAGGCTCGGAGTTGGCAAGCATTACCAGCCAGCTGCCATCACTGATGGGGTCCAAGTATCTCCAGATCTACAGCACCACGGTCAGTCTAAATGTCACCCATCAACACCGAAAACTCGGCTACATACCCTGGCTTTCATCCCATTCAGGTTGGTCCGAAGCAAGACGAAGTTCACCGTGTTCAGCTCACTACCCAGAGCGTCCATGATACGCTCACTGGGAACTGGACTCATGAATCCGCCAGGCATGGATGGACCGCCCGATATGGGGTTATTAAATCCGTTGATGAAGAACTCGCAAGGGACTTTGCACCTCCTGTCGCCCGGTGCATCGGTGAAAAACAGAGCCATCGTCTGTATCTCAATGATGTGTTCAGCTGTGCGAGGTCAAGGGTCAGCCATTACGATCATGTAGAAGAAACTACAATCTATAGCATGCAAGAGAGAGTGATCGTCGACTTACTGGCATAGTACTCGCCATCTGGCAGCTGGGAAACTCGGAGATTAGTCATGGAGCAGTGTTCCTCGTACATGTGTGTCAGGGCATTGTCGTAGATGGGATTATTGGAAGGCCATTGGCCAGCGCTAGTCCACGGCCTCTTCCTCCACTTGATTTTCTTGCCGTTGGGATTCGCCGAGTCTACACACTCAAACTCAACGTCCATGTTATCGCGCTTCTCGAGAGCGCCGTGATGTTCTGCAGGAGATGTGTCGAGGAGGGTGTCTCGCGCCTTCACAGACCCGAACCCCATGCCACGCCTATCTGAGGTGCCAGGAGCATCTTCATCAAACGAGTCGAAGCATAGCCCATCGACTCCGCACATCTCGGCATTGCAGATGACGACGGTAACTTGTGTCCGCCGAATCAGGGCGTCAGTGACATCAAGCTGGCAAGCGAAGCGCTCTGCAGTGATCTCTGGGCCCTCAAGATCAAAAGCAGGATAGCGAGACTTGTCAGTAAGGAATGACTTCATAGGTACTGTCTGTAATCCTTGATGCTTGGTTTTGATGAAGTCGTCCCAAGCACTGCCATAAGCCTTGCTCATATCGGTCGACGTCTGGTATATGGCCGCGAGGATTAGCATCAACAGCTTGAGGGCTCTTTCAGCATTGGTCATGCCATTACCGCCAATGGGAGTTTGCTGCCGAGTGAGAAGGTGGGATTTGTCTTCGTCGCTGATGAGGCCTCGTTCCACGAGATAACGTCGTTGGAGAGACCCCGTTCCCCGAGGACAAGTTGGACTCTTGACCCAAGCCTCCATGGCATCGCGATACTTTTGTATCTCATCTGACGGACGCGTCTCGGTTTCGTAGTTATCCGCGTCGCAGCAGTACGCTCGGGCACCACTGGTCTTACAACCGTCACCCCAAGCGTCCATGGCCACTCGTGTTTTGCCTTCAGGGCAGTTGGGATAACATCGGGCTCCCGCGGAACCCCATCCGAGCGACTTTTCCCATTTACAGTTGCTCCATTTGCGGTTGTTCGTCTTGGTGTCGCAGCAGTACTTACGTTCCTGAACCTGCCAGGTACTTGCTTCCCAGCCCGCAGAACGCATATTGCAAATGGCACCACCACTGCCCGTTGCTGAGACGACTAGTTCTGTCGGCCATGCTGAGCCAGCAAACGTACACTTGCCCAGATCGCACATTGGCGCATCGGACCACTCACAACCCTCATAGAGCTCCATGGAGCGTAGTGGTTTCTTATCCGAATCCGAAGTGGTGCAGCAGGCGGCCTGGTAGCCCGAGTCACAGTAATTTGAGTTGGATCCGACTTCCTGAGTGCCATCCGGACATTTCGAATCACATTTACCGCCGCGTTTGGGAAGTGTGTACCAACCGCACGTTGGAAGCTTCTCGGACGACGGGCAACAGAGGCGGTGGATACCCGCACCGTCACACCCCGAGTTGTCAAACATATATTCATCGGTACGGGCATGCTCATCGCTGCGCTTCATTATTTGCCAGCCCGAGGGACAGCCCCCATCCATGCAGTTTGTCCATTTGCACTGGGGATGCGGAATCTTAACTTCCTTTTCAGGACCTTCCGTACTCGGAAGAAGAAGGATCTTGCGATTTGCCGCCGCCGCCAGAGCTTTCGTGTACTTTGCGTCCTTGGTGTCGTGACTGATGGCCCATACCATAACGCCGCCCAGGCAGCGCTTGCGGGCGAACTTGGCTTTCATCTTGAACGTGTCCGCATCGTCGTACGTCAGCCACTGGTCGTCCCAGTGAAGCATCTTCACAGTCTCCTTCTCCCATGATTTGGGCACAAGGCTCTTTTTCTTAACGATATCGTCGATCTCAGAGTTGAGCAAGATACCGGCCTCGTTACTGCAAGGACCTTTCTTGGCACCCGATGCGAATTGGCACTGAGCTTCAGTGCAGCTTGGGTCTTTGAGCGTGTAAGCTCGCGCGTAGAATGCAAGGCCCAAAACTACCATGTTTGGATCCACTTTGTTCCTCCAAAGGAGATCAAGAGCGGCATCGATCTCGGTAATATTTGTATGAGGGTTGAGATATTCGCCGGTCCACTTGTTGCCTGAATCAGACGTTAGAAGAGATCATACCAAGTAGAATCAAGATTCGAACCTTTATCCCACGTGCCGTGCAAATCATATGACATGATGTTGAAGAAGTCAACTGATTTCTTGAGCTTGACGAGGTCGAAGTGTTGGAGATACCAGAAGGATGCTGGGAGCGTGATAGATAGCCCGCCGCGGCCTGCTGTCTGCCGAAGCTCTTTGGATAAGTTTTGCATGAATTTAGGAAAGTTTGCAAAGTCTTCGGATCTGCCACTGCGATCCGGAGCTTCGGGGTATTCCCAATCAAGATCAACACCGTCCATGTCGTACTTGTTTAGAAAGGCAATCAGAGACTTGATGAACTTTTTCTGATTCTCTTCCGACCGTGCAATGTCTGAGAAGACAGTCGCAGTAGGACCTGGATCGTTAAATGTCCAGCCGCCAATGGCGATGTATATGCGGAGTGTGGGGTCATCTTTCTTGAGCGCTGTCAAGCGCTTGTAAAGTGGTATGTCCTCAGGTGTCGCGGGAAGAACTTCAAATGTCTGGGGATCAATCGTCGCAAAGGCAAAGTTGATGATTGAGTAGACGCCACGAGGAATCTGCTCAGGAAAGAAGGCATTGCATGGCCTTCGAGCACCCCATCCTTCGTAGTAGCCAACCACCCTATTGAGGGTGCCGTCTTCATCACAGGTCTCTCGTTTGACTTTCTTGTTGCCACACTAGAAGTATGATAGTGAGCTTGATGCTTTGACGTAGGTAGGTCAGTTTCAGTAGTTACTTACAAAGTCTTTCGTGGTTCCGCAAAACCCCTAAGAGAGATGTTGTCAGTAGTTATACACACACCTAGCACAAAGAACCTTATATGCCGAAACACACTTACAAACTTTGAACAGCACACGTTTAGAGGACAAGTAGATCTCTTGGCCCATTGTGAACCGAATCCGGGATCACAGTCGGACTTGCGCTCGCAGCCAGAGACACAGACGTCCGATGCACAAAAGTCTGGGCCAAAACCACAATGGCCGAATTTGGAGCTGATTTGGATAGTTAGCTAGTACTCATATATTTGAGTTGAAAAGTAGCGTTTTCAGATTCTCGCATTGAGCAGTGTTTAAGCTGTCAGAAAACCCGCATAGAAAATGTGACTTACCAGCATCCAACTTCACAAAGGCTAGATGCACTACACGTTTGGGCGTAGGACAAAGGTAGGGATGTTAAGAGGAAACTAAGAAGACAGAAAAGAATGTACGTAGTCGAAGCCATGACTACAGCGGTAATCTCACAAAAGAGAGATGTATCTTCTCCTGGCTGCAGAGGAGGATGCCAAAGAAATAAAGAAGAAGTTTGAGCTAAGAAGCCTCAGCCTATTGATATGTTCAGAAGCCAATAGATCCACCTCAACAAAGCACTTGGCAGCAAGCCTTGGGCCTAGACAACTAGCCCGAGTAAGTTCTAGAGTTAACACGGGTGGTAGAGTGTAAGGCGTTCTCCCAATTAATTGGAAAGTTACACGACACTGGAAAAGTTGATTGAAGCTGTTGGTTTCTCCTGATGACTGCAGAACTCCGGCCGGAGATGGGCCTGGAGTTGAGTGGCATCGTCAATATTGCACTAATCATACTCATGGGAGAAATGAATTAATTCCCAAGACTCCACGAGGGAGGGAAATGACAGCACTTGGCAGTGAGAAAGATATCTAAATGTGGATTTCCAATCCTTCTTCTAGCCAAGAGAGGGCAATGAGGGTTCAATTTGGGAGGCCTTACAGTGGCGGGCTTCACATTGACTGTTGATAAGGCTGTGAAAACCCCTGTCGGGTCTGCTTAACCGTGTATAAGGCGTTCCAATCTAACGGCGCGTGATGGTCGTCCTGCAGGGACGCTTCGCTTAGTGTGGAGACCATGTTCGCAGGATGTAGATGGCGGCCCGAAAACCATACGACCCGTGATCATCCCGCAAATGGCGGGACCCTGATTGTCGTTAACAGCTTGCCTAAAGCAGTATGATGGCCGTCCAGGGGCCCGGATAAACCGCAGCATCTAGCTCAATTTGTAACAACTATAGTTCGCATCAATCTGCCGCACACGCCAGAAATAGAGGTGGCCTGACGCAGGTACCATTTTTTGGGGGGTCTACCATATTGTACCTGCATTTGATCTAATTTTGCTTAGGTGTAGGCTCCCGTCGGGGCTTACTTGGCGGATGTAGTAGGCTGTTTATCCTAACCAATGGATGGACCACTCGTTACATGACGGACGGTTTTTGGAAGTGTTCATTGAGTTGTAGAGCTTACAGCAAATGCGCTACCCCTTCTCGTTCGACTACCCTTAATGCCACGATCTGCTGTTGCACGCCGGCGAACACCAAGTTGTCTATTCCTTCCTTCTTCCAAGCTCTCCTTCAACTTGTCTATCTTCGAGCATGGCGCCTCACTTTAGGCTGCCGTTCGTTTTCAACACCCTCTTTACCATCTTTCTTCTACCATCACTGGTAGCTCTCGTTTTCGGCCATGGAATCGATCATGCCGAGGCCCACCGCCAGATGAAAACCATCAGACAAACAGATGCAGATGGTGTTCATGCCCCAGTAAATGGGACGACTAAACCCCGTCTGGGTAACTCGACTTCGGGCGATGCCGCTGATCTTGTTGCCGCTGCTCTAGACGCTCTTGCAGTACGCAATAGGTTGCGCCTAGACAACCCGAGGTTCAACAGTTATGAAGTCTTGCCAGCCGATATCCCGAGCGCGAACAAATCCACAGATGACAACACCGTCCCCTCGATATTGGATTTTGTTGACGTCGCATCTAACAGCACTTTGAGAAAAAGAGCGCTCAACTCCACGGGTCCTATTAGCGAAGAAGCCAACCCGGACGGTGGTTACAAATACAGCGTACCAGCAGAGCTTGTAGAAGCTGCTCGTATCCTCGCTGAGTCGACGCCGCAGCATGTTTCGACCGGCAACCAAAGCGACGTCGCCTCGAAGATCAAGGCTAAGTATGCTCTAAAAGTCAACGATACCAATGCGATGCCTGCCTCCTTTGCCATGACGGAAATGTCATCCATACTTCCCGTTGCTTCTAATGAGACGATCCCTCTTGGCTCCAGTGGTCTGAAGAAGCGAGCGTCCAAGTATTGGATGGCCAACATGCAGCAACTAGGCTCTAGTCCCTTCGCACCTAGTGGCTACAAGGTAACTATTCGTGCACTCACCACCTTTGGTCTTGCGTTGACAGGATGGAATACAGGTTTGGAGAGACGTGCGCGCCTACGGTGCAAAAGGTTTGTTTTCAGCTTTCTGTTCCCGGGAACTTGCAATTCAATTATCGCTAATACTGAGCGCTTTTTAGGTGATGGAGTCACTGACGACACGGGTAAGTCCAAGCCATCATCAAAGTATCATTGTGCATTCATGCTAACTCCTTTGTTCATCAGCTGCCATCAATCGCGCCATCTCTGATGGCAATAGATGCGGTGCCAACTGTGGCTCGAGCACTATTCACCCGGCTGTCGTCTTCTTCCCCGCAGGAACATACCTCGTCAGCAGTTCAATCATTCAGTATTACAACACGCAGCTACTGGGCGATGTATGTCCCAAGCAATCGTTCCGCGACAGGCCGTTTTGACTAACATGCGCCTTCTAGCCAATCGATGTTCCGACTATCTTGGCTGCTTCTAGTTTTGTTGGCCTCGGTGTGATTACCTCCAATCAGTACATTGGCCCGGGCCCTACTGATGAATGGTAAGTGCTAAACTATATTCTGAGTTGACGCCGTTCTCTGACTTTCGTCCATTGCAGGTATGTTAATCAGAACAACTTCCTGCGAAGTGTGAAGAATTTCAAGATGGATATCACACAAACACGCTGGGACGCGTACGTATGTGCGATCCACTGGCAAGTTGCTCAGGGTACTTCCCTGGAAAATATTGAGTTTCACATGTCTTTTGATGAGAAAACTACACAGCAGGTGAGTTGTTCGGCAGGCTTGAGATACGCATCGTCACTGTAATCATGTATCGCTGACACCCTACGCAGGGCATATATATGGAAAACGGTAGCGGAGGTTTCATGAGTGATCTTACCTTCGTCGGCGGGAATTTTGGGTGAGTGACATTCATACTTATGTTGCACTTTTGACTTACGCATCGAACAATCAGCGCCTACTTTGGAAACCAGCAATTTACAACAAGCCATTTGGTATTTGTCAACTGTAAAACCGCCGTGCAAGTACACTGGGACTGGGCGTGGACGATGCAAGACTTTGTTATTGAGTCATGCAAAACAGGTATTGTGATTGTAGGAGGTGTAAGTACCAGCCTCTTCGATCCTTAAACAACTCTGATGCTGATTTTGACGTAATTAAGGCTGGTGGTGTCGGAAGCACAGGTCAAGGTGTGGGGTCTCTTGTCCTCGTCGACGCCATCATCGCCAACACCCCTACCGGGATTGTCACCACGCTTTTCAAGGAGAACTCTACGTCCCTTCTTCTTCAAAATGTAGGTTTCTTCAACACGAAGACCGCGGTATACGAAGAATCTGCAAAGAAAGATCTTCTGGCTGGCGGCAATGAAGTAAAAGTTGAGTCTTGGGGATTCGGTATGCTCAACACGCCCGATGGATCAACTTTTGTCAACGGGCAGAAGATCCCCGCCGTCAAGCGACCATCGATGCTCCTTAGCCCAGACATGGCATATGCTGGCCCCAATCTGTACACAAGAAGGAGGCCAAAGTACCTCGACCTCAGCTCCACCCAAGTGCTCAACGTGAAAGCTCTCGGAGCCAAAGGTGACGGCAAAACGGACGACACGAACACTCTGAATGGCATCTTGGACTTGGGTGCCAGAACGTCGTCTGTAGTGTATATTCCGTTTGGAGTTTACATCGTTAAAGACACCCTCAAGATCCCGACTGGTTCGCGAATCGTCGGCCAAGCATGGGCACAGATTATGGGAACAGGAGCAAACTTTGAGGATGCTTCGAAGCCCAGGCCTGTAGTCATGGTCGGATATAGAGGCGAGGTAGGCAGCGTCGAAATCCAGGACATGCTTTTCACTGTTTCAGGACCCACGGCCGGCGCTGTAGTAGTGGAATGGAACACACGCGAGTCCAGCCAGGGCTCAGCTGGTTTATGGGGTGAGTGTTTCTAATGCTGTCTAAGTTATTCTTCTGAGCTAACGTGGATTTCAGATTCGCATATCCGTGTTGGAGGAGCAATAGGATCAAAGCTGCAGAAAAACGACTGCCCCAAGCTGACCGGCACTATCAACAAGAAGTGCATCGCGGCTTCCATGCTCCTGCACCTGACGCCTCAGTCATCCGCATACGTAGAAAACTCGTGGATCTGGACGGCTGACCACGACTTGGATATCGTTTCGCAGGACCAAATCGACATTTATGTCGCCCGGGGTGTCCTGGTCGAGTCTCAGGGCCCGACATGGCTCTACGGCACAACTTCCGAGCACAACGTCCTGTACCAATACCAATTCTCCAACGCCAAGAACGTTTTGATGGCTATGATTCAAGCAGAATCCCCGTACTTCCAGGATGTTCCCAAAGCTCCAGCCCCATTCCAGCTTGGTGGCTTCAGTAACGATCCTTCGTTCTACGACTGCTCTAGTAGCTCATCCAAGTGTGCCGTATCATGGGGCGTACGTATCATTGACTCTGAGCAGATACATGTCTTAGGTGCTGGTATGTATTTCGCAAAAACTACTTATTATATGATTCGCAAGACTAATCTTACTTCAACTAGGTCTTTACAGTTGGTTCTCGAGGTATTCACAAGACTGTCTCAAGACAGAAGATTGCCAAGATCGCGTCTTTGAGATTGACCAGAGCACCAACGTTTGGATCTACAATCTCTGCACCAAGGCTGTTCGCGAAATGGTCACTCCCGTCAAGAGCAAGGCTACCATGGCAAAAGACAATCAGAACGGATTTCTCTCTTCCATCCTTGCCTGGGTGCGCAACGGTACCATCGGAGAGCGCAATTTTCCTGGCTTCACCCTCTACAATGCAACGCAAGACGAGGATATCCTCGATGGTCTTTCTGAGGGATGCAAGACGGCATTGACAGGAATCATCAAGTGCGACTACTACACTACGCGCTTCCGCGAGCTCCGATACCGAGGCGCGTTGGAAAGCAAAAACTTGACGGACTCAGTCTGCGACCAGGGCTGCGGCCGATCGCTTAAAGCTTGGTTCGACACTGTGACTCTAGCCTGCTCGGGAGCCAAGGTGAACGACGCCATCCCTAATCGCTCTGGTGGCATCGTTTGGGCAGGTTGGAACGAGACGTGCCAGATAGACTCTAGCTCGAAACAATACTGCGGAGGTAAGTCGTCTCTGCACTCATGTCCTACCATACATCATGGTCTAACTTTCTGGTTCTAGATGTCATGAATAATTTCAAGACGGTATACGACATCAAGGAAATGCCGCGAAATGAGCTGTGTTCAAACTGTCACGTAGAGAGGCTACGCATGATGCAGTCAAGTGCCTACTCGACCTACGACGAAGATTGGAAAAAGGACTTAGAGTACGTCTACTCGACCTGTGGCCTAAGTGGTCCCACTACAGTTCCCCCGCCTCTCGTGGGTCTTGAGCCTGAGACACCCGGTCTCTGCATATCGGATCAGTTCTACACAGCTAAATCAGGAGACACATGCGACTCGATTGCGCTCGCGAACAGCGTCGCATCGGCAGCGCTCAAAATGGCGAACTCGAAGCTATACGGATGCAACGACATAAAAGCAGGCGAGAAACTCTGTCTCCCTCTGACGTGTCCTAAACTATACACCCTGCAAAAGGACGACTCGTGCGTTTCCATCGAGATGGCCCAGAACCTGACGCTTGGAGATATCAGACGCTATAACCCGTGGCTGAACCTCGACTGTCCAAACCTCCACGTCGCAACGCCTGTGTTGGGAAGTGTGCTCTGTCTGGGGGCGCAGGGTGCCAATGTCACCACAACCGCCACGCTCCCCACCGGCCCTACGGCGGCACCCGCACCGGGCGACGGGTACACAGATGCTCCCGTCGATCCTCCCAAGGGTTCGACTGTTGCTGAGGGTACTACACTGCGTTGCGGACGATGGTTCGTGGTTGCCGATGCGGCGCAGACATGCACGAGCATGTGTGTCCAAAATGGCATCACCTCAGAGCTGTTTTTGGCGGCCAATCCATCCCTCAAAGCAGCAGATTGCTCGGCCTCGCTCAAGATGGGCAAGGCGTATTGTGTCGGACCCGTCTGGCAATGGCAATCTGATCCTATTACGAGTATGCCGGAGCTGACATCGACTGCTGCGCCGCAGCAGACTCGATCCACTAGTCGTAGTTAATGTGCTTCGCTATAGCAGATATATTCATCACCTCCACAAGAAATATGGCATCGCCAAAACTGGTCTCGTGAAGATTTCTGGCAACCAGCCAACGACAAGCAGTAAGCGTTTTCACGACGTCTGCAAAGTACTATTGGTCGGTGTGTTATCTTTCTTTGTCGATAAGATGTATCCATACTCTACAAATCTTATTCATTACTTTTGTATCTCGGTTTCGTAGCAACCGCCCGTTCGGTGCATCAAACCATCTCCACACTGGCCGGGCCCGCGACGATGCGCTACTTTCCATCATTCTACTTGCGTCTCTGTGATCTCCAGCCTTCAGCTTAAGATTTGCGCTTTCGTTTTAAATAAAGGTGCTAGTATAAGTATAACATGTCTCTCTATCACTGTCAAGTTCCATACTACGTACCTTCGCACATGGCGAGCTTCCGGCCAACCGGCATCACGTGCCTGCTACCAAACGAAGAACACCGCTTTGCTCCCAGGGCCCGCATATCTTCGTCATACATCCTCTATCGTCCGTCGCTCTGAGAAAGGGCTCTGTTTACTTAGGTCTTGGAATGGTTGATCTACATCTTATAAGATATTGCACTGCATTCTCGACCCGTATATAGGCCTCTGTGTGTACCATGACGCATGGAAAGGAATATTATTTTAAACCTAGCGCCTTGGATCACGTGTAGAGCCGTATCAGCAACAGCACTTCTCTCTGCGCAATGGTTTTAGTGCCAGACGTCACCTCAACGAACAACATATGACGTCGTTTCTAACACTCTAGTCTACAGGAGATATCCCCATCATGTCCAAAAGCCACCTATATCAACATATAGGGCATTCATTGCTAGATCTTCATCTTGAAAGCAACCGTACCTATAAGCTAGTCGACCCGGTAGTTGATCACCCGGAGATGTTGATCACGCATGAATTCGGCCACCACTCGGAACAAATCGTGTTTATTTTCTCAATATAGTTACAATTGCCACTATATACACATAGACTAAAGCGTTTAAGCTGCTGTTTTAGCTGCTGCTCTTTCTACCGCCCGTTCCTTAGCGTTAGTATCCCGTTGTGCCTCTAGAAGTTATGAGGCCCGTACCGCAACCATAATTATATCTATGTCTGCAAATCGTTAATTTAGATTAACATGAACTTTCTTTCGTGGCTGTTAAGGCTTAAGAGCTTTAAGTTAACTATAGAGTCTTTTATTTTGTGTTTTAAATTCTGCTGCCCGTATATTTGCTGCTGTAAGTGCCTTACTAGTTTTCTTAAAGTACTAGTATATCGTACGACTTAACTTCTCTATTCTATAAAGCTCTTTCTGAGCTATAAGTATATTACGAGGTCCGTAAGGGGTAGAGAGATAGATCTTAGTAGTCTGACGCTGATTCTGACGGGGTGGAGTGATAGGCCTTCGAGATACCTAAGATGAATTGACTACCTAGTTAATATTTAATAGAGAGATACCTAAAGCAGCCTACCTAGCTCGTACAACTCTCTTAGTAATTGCTCTCTCTCTTGCAGCATAGTAGGCTGTAATAAAGCGCTCTTTCTTAACAGGCGCTGCGTCATTAAGGTACGAGAGAGTCTAGATTTGCTGCCGGTAGAACCTCTTAACGACAGAGAATACTGAGAGGTCTAGAGGCTATAGGACATATAAAGAATAAGTAGGTAGAAATAGAATATAGACCTTATTCTGCTTGCACTTCTATAGAAACTCTAGATTAATATAACTGCCGTAGCTATCTAGAATTAGCATCCTCTAACGATCGTCCGACACAGCCGTCTTAGGCAGAAATATCCGCTCTAACTACTCAGCTCCTATTATATTTAAAGTCTAGCCATTCTTAGATGTTATATAAAGCTAGTTAGGTATTATCGTTAGAAACTAGGTACTCTGTAGGTTCTTCCCCTTAAATATAACTACTAGGCGCAGTTTCTTACCTAAGGCCGATATATACTTAATTATTAAGGCCCACTTATGGTTCTCTAGAGACTAATAGTAAGCCTTCTTCTTTTAACTACTTGCGAGGACTCTAGTATTAGCATATATACTAAGGGCTTTTCTAGTCTTGTCTATATTCTATATATCTTTAGCCCGTATATCCAGCCTTACACGAACCCTCTTAAAGAGATTAAGAAATACGCGGATCTGTCTAGGAGTCGCTCCCTTAGCCTAGGTAGCCTTAATTTTTCGTCTAATAATAGATGCGACGCGTAGATTGCGCTTTAGGAAGGTAGTTATCTAATACTTGCCTATAGGCCTGCGGTCTCTATTTATCCTTAATATTTAGTTCGCTATTTCTCGTGCGCGTGCGTGTAAGGGAGGAAAAGCCTATACGTCCTCTTTTAGTATCTATTATATAAGGAAGTCCTCCTGCTCTGGGGTTAATCGCTGTTGGTATACGTGGCTTGCGTGGTTGCTCTGTCTGCCGTTCATACGCGTCGAGATTATGGACTAGGGAGGTTGTACGCTTTTATAGCGGCTCTTTGGCTTAGAAAAACACTAGAAATAATATCACTAATAGCTGATTAAATAGCTTCTTTACGGGCATCCATTTTGGCTGTGTATGTGGCGAGAAAACACGTGTTTTGATGAGGGTGTTGAGTTCTGATCAGTGATCAACATCTCCGGGTGATCAACAACCCTGTCGACTAATAGCTTATCCAACTTTCCAGATTAAGCTTTTGCCAATTTCGCTTAAGCTTCAGCTTGTCGTTGTCACTGGCCTTGGTTGATTGGACGTGGCATCCAGCGGGCTGCCTCCTTGTGTTGTGAATGGCTGATCCACCCATCTAGTCTCCTAGTCATCATGTTTGCTGGTATGCCATCTTTACTGCTGCTTCAACCGTCCCTGATTGTGCACTTAGCCACGATCCACGGCGTCATCGCCAGGCCACGCGTCTTTTCCGTCTGTGTCGTGAGATCTAGACTGGTTGCTGCAAAGGAGACTTTTGGTGCACGACGCGTACATTGGTAACAGGTCAGCAGTGATTGGTCGAGCTTATGTGTGGTCGGCGATGGGGCGCGAACATAAACCTCTAATACTGCGATGAGTTGGAAGGCAGTGCAATATCGTTACAGTTTCGTTTGGCTCAGTGTTCAATGCCGGCCAAGATGAGGTGCTCTAGCATGAACTTATTCTTCCCATATCTTCTAGGTGAGCCAAAAAAACATCAATTCGAATGGCTATGAAGCTAGAACAAGCACTCATACCTGATTTCTCGAACAGCCCTTTCAAGCCTTGCTGTAGCCTCAGATGCATCCACTTCGCAGGACCAACCTGGATACGCAACCTTCATCCAGTCCACTGCGCATGGTAATCTCACATTTTCCCTGAGTGCTGTGAACAGTACTGGCGATACCTACATACACCTTTCTGGACCCACAACATACCAATGGATCAGTGTTGGCACAGGCTCGAAGATGGCTGGCAGCGTGATGCTGATTGTGTACAGGAATGAGTCTGCAAACGGTAGGTCTCCATGTTTACACCTTACCTCACCTTCTCAAAAACATACTCACACTGGAAAGGGATAACACTCTCAACGCGCCTGGCCAGCGGAGAGAATCAGCCTGATTACAGTTCCCAAATCGACTGTAAACTCCTATCTGGAACAGTAGACAAGGATGCCCAGTCCAGTACCATGAAAGAGCGCAGCTCATCTTCTTCATCCTCATCATCCGACTTCTTCTCCACAAACATCCATTGTACCAACCTCCAATCTCTCGGCCAACACGACGGCACCCTCTCCTTCGCAAACCAGCAGCAAAACTTCATCTACGCCCTGGGTCCTTCAGCGTCCTCTTCTAACTCGCTCTCGAGCAACTCCCCCTTGGCAAACCTCCAACAGCACAGCTCAACCGGCAAGTTCTGGGTCGACATGGTCAATGCAACGTCTGTCTCGTCGACAAGCACCAACGGCAGCCAGGTGGGCGTGCCGAGCGGCGCAGCGCTGCTGACTGCCCAGAATACAGGAACAGGTGGGGGCAGTGACGCCATGAGCGCTGTGCATGCAGCATTCATGCTTCTTGCGTTCGTCATCGTGTTCCCGCTTGGCGCCGTCCTGCTTCGCTGGACCAAGAACGGAGTTAGGGCGCACTGGATTGTGCAGAGCGCAGGTTTAGTGCTCACGATAGTCGGGGGAGGCCTTGGTATCGCTCTTAGTGAGCAGAATGATGATGTAAGTTGCTTTGTCTCCGATCTCTCTTTACAATCTCCTAGAACATGTGTACTGACTGGTTAGCAATCATCCTACTCGAGCGCCCACCAGATCCTTGGTCTTATCGTCTTTGGTCTCGTCTTTGTCCAGTGGGCTCTCGGCATGTGGCATCACTTGCAGTACAAGAGATACCAGCGGCCTACGGTATTCGCAAAGATCCATCGTGTTGTCGGCCCGGTCATCTTGATCATAGGGTTTGTGAACGGGTTCCTCGGAAACAATCTCAGTGGTGATGATGACCACAACAAGTGGCAGGGTGCTGTTGTCGGTGTTGTTGCAGTGCTTATAATAGGGCTACTAGGATGGAAGGAGTTGAAAAGGAGGAAGATGGAAAAGAGGGGAGAGGCATTTAATATGAGGCCTACTATCCGAAGGAGTGATGAGGCTGATGACTCCGAGGATGCCAAAGAATAATTTCTTGGGCTGGTGAGGACTGATGGTAAAAGTGGTATTGATTGAGTCAGCATGCATGTTGTTTGTCGCATTTTCTCTTTCATAGTTCAACCGTATTTCACATATAATAGTTGATAATAGAAATTCGATGCATTCCAGTTGGCGCAATAATCTTTCATAGTCTGCCTCGCGCCTACAACTCCAACCTACCTTGAGCGCTGCACTAAGAATACATCAGCCTAAACTTCCAAAACTGGCTAAAACTGTTATTCTTCATGGCTTAGAAGATACTCTTTATAAATAAGTAAGACTCGGAAGTAATATACGTAGTACTGTAAGCTCTAGGCCTTGCCTATCCATATGCCCTATAGGACGCTTTAGATAGGAGGTAAAATCTGAACATATTCATATACAACTTTCAAGAATCGTCTTTGAAACAACCATTTTCATCTCGTTGGTTGCGAAAAAGCGTCTTAGACACACGTGCCGACCCAGTCGAAATACCAAGCTTGCTCATTAGCAGCTAAAAACTGCAGGTGTGTTTGCTCTCATGGAGCTGCTCCCTATCCTTTTCTGTAATGCCGAAAGCTATCAAATTTGTCGCTATCAGGATGGATGTTTGAGTCGATGTAGATGGCCTGGGTTGGAGCTTCGGTCATCACACCTACGGGGACATGCTGGCTGGTTGATGCTAGAGTCAAAAGGATGTTAGTAGCTGATGTCGAAGCCGTATGAATAGCAGAAAAAGCTTATATTAACTGCATTTTGGCGAGTTGGAAAACATCGGGATCGCTATTCGACGCGAATTTACGATTCATGATCCACTACATCATGTCGTCCGGTCTCTCGCAGTGTAGGTCATTCTTAAAAGCCTCATATTAACGGTTGATGATTGGTTTGACGATATCCCTTGCTCTTCATTTTCTCTCCTTTAGTTTCTGATTCCAGCAAGACGTGGAGCGAAAATAAATCGAAGCCAAAGGTAGATCTTCTTGATCGCAATAATTGCGTCGATAGCATCTGTAGTGTAGTTGACCGCCTGGTCAATATATTCTGACGTCTGATATATCTCTTGGCCTAAAAATAGGCGTCCAGATACCTGGGTGATGACTCTGGTAACAATATGATGTACTGGTACCCTTGTCCAATCTTTACATAGGGGTATGGGAGTATCGACGCCAATATTAATTTCGCATTTGACAGTATCATTCAAGCGCCGTAAAAGATCAGGAATGACTCGACGCAATAAGATATCCACACCTACCGTGTGATGGCGTGAAGTCGGCCCTGATAGAATGGATCATATCTGGATCATCAGTTCTGTTCCCTGTGTACTTGTATTATAGCAACCACTTGGTTTTAAAATGCTACAGGTTAAGAATAGTGTCTCACAAACCCGTGCAACAGCTATGTGAAGCTAATGCATTCGTCCGGCAGTTTCACGACCCCAGGTAGCAATTTGTTTGGTAGAACGACAAAGTCTTCATTCTCTGGCGACATAATTCGGTATACGCATTCCTTGAACTATTAACTTGCCAATAAGAACACATATTTTCTATTTATAAGGTTTACGCTGCCTGGTATCCATCGCGATAGACTGGCCTTACAGACCTCAGGAGGACTTGGCGCTTGCTGGAATTGACGTGTGTACTCTTCACTTTTGGAAACATTTTCACTATGACAAGGTAATCAATCTTTGAAAAGAGGCGCAATGCTACCAAGGACAAAAAAGCAAATCCAACAGTTTGTAATACGTGGGATGATTCCGTGCAGGATAAAGACTCCATGTTGGGTGACTTTGAAGAAATTGCTCATCTTGCGCTATCAGTGAACACAGGGTTGAAGATAAACTTCATTCACTACAGCGATCCTTTGTAGATCCAGGATACGGATGGACGAGTTGCTGAACATCCAAAACTTAATGTATTGCATAGTTTGTGAGAACCCATACTTGAGAAAGGGTATGGATAGATGGAAGTCGAGAGGTTCCGTGGATTACCGTAGATGTCTACTAGACTAAGCAAAGCCTCATCTCACTCTTTCAACGCTTGGTTGCTTAGAGCCTCCTTATTTGCGTTTTTGCAATGCCTTTCGGTGTTGTTGCATCGCAGTTGATGGCGTGGCTTACTGTGCTGCATGGCATAACTGATGTATGTGGGTCCGCTAGCAAGGGGATGATACAGGCTAGGGTAGAGAGTAAGCGCTGTACTCAATAGAATAGAAGCTATACTGTAAGCGTCGTATTTCTTGTTGAACATAATCCGAAGAAGGTCCTGATCTTCATTTTAGCGTCTCCACCGTACAAAACTTATGCCCTGTACCGCAGTAAGGTGACATAAACGATTTTTATTTCTATACAAGTGTACTATAAGGGTCACTAAGAGTATAATAAGAGCCGTATAACGGGAGCAGGGATAGAAACAAGGATAAAAGCATAGATGTCCTCTAGGGTACTCCGAGATCCTAGTCTTCTAATACAATTGATTAGATATGAGCATTGTAGTAAGAGGAATAACAATCAGCGTATACTTATACTCCCTTTGGAATACTATACAGCAAAGATTCCAGCTAACGAAATGTACCTATGTATACCAGTACTAGCGGCAGTGGGAACGACCCTTCCCGCCTAATGGGGGACTTTTCCCCAGATTGTATACCAACCTTCGTCCTTGAGAGTTCATTCCCTGCTGCCTATATAGCTAATTACTATATCGTAAGCATATTTAACTCTGAACATGGTACAGCGTGACTCTATCGACAACATACAAGATGGAATCGTCAAATTCTTCAAACTATTTTCACATCCTAAACTTTTCACCACAGCTTAGTCTCAGTAAAAGGTTGCAACCGTTACTGGCGGTACATCCAGCATCGACTTCCCTGCTGCTGGGTATTTGGTCAAACAAAACTAGGCTGTTGCAATTGTAGATTATAATGCAGAAGGCGGACGAAATACTGCGCAGGAACTCGGAGAGAAAGTATGTTTCGTACAAGCCGATGTCTCGAGTTACGATCAACTTGCCAGCTCTTTTGTATTAACCTGCATAAAGCACACACGTATTGATTTCGTGTTTATCAACGCTGTTGGTATTTATGTAATGGGTGGGCCGAATCCGGCCTAGCGCGCAGCTACTCGCGCCGCCCACTTAACCAAAAGGTTGGCACAAGTCAACAAGCTTATCTTGTTGTCGTGGTAGCTAGATATATATACTTGGGATCAGCTCGCGCTGCGCTAATCGCTACTTAGTAACTTATCATTAAGGGCGTAGCCCATCACAATTTATTGTTTAATCAATGATAAATCTATTTATATTTTGCAGGGCTATGCAAACTCGAACGATCGCGTTTTGCCAACATCTATACACTTAGATGGGGCGCCCGTAAAACCCGATACATCAGTAATTGATATATGTCTGGTTGGAGTCATTTAATCAACCTACTCGGCGCTGCAGTATTTTTGCAACACTGACAAAATTGGAAGATTCATAGCAACCAGTAGCATGGCGGGTTTATATCCAATAAGATGGATGCCATTCCATAGTACTCCAAAGCATCAAGCAAGTGATACAGTTTTCTGCACAAACGTAAGCTCTAATCAGGTAAAGATAGTTTAGATGACTAGGTCATTGGGTCAAAAACACGAGAGGAGTTGGGAGCCAATCTCAGTAAATTGTGTCTGCCCTGGTAGGTATATCTTAGAAGACCAAAGCCGTCAATACATGTAAGCTTGAAAAACATCCTTTTGCAGTATAACGCGTCTCTGCAGCTAAAATAAGAGTAGAAACTCTATTCTATAGCTTGAGCTCGTGCTCCTGACGTTTTTGATCGCATTTCCTGAATACAAATCCTGGGTTCTCCCATTCTGGTAGCGCGTTCTGGCATTGAATCCAGTCCACCTGCAACTCGATAAAGGGCGGTCCATTAGCAATCGAACTTGGTGCCTGTGGTCCATATAAGAAGAATGCGTTTAGGAACCTGGGCACTGTCATGCCTAGATGCGTCTTAACTCCATTCTTCCATTTGTCTTGAATTTTGACGCCGTCCTCTGCTATAGATATTCATCTTAAAAAGACTACCCGTAAGGTTATTATAGCCCGTTGCTACGACCACTACATCTAATTCGCAGAGCTTACTAGTATTCTAGTTTCCCGTAACAATGCCCTCGGCGGTGAACTCTTAGATAGGCGTCTCCTTAAGGTCAATCAAGGTGACAATGGGTCGATCCATAGATTTATAGTAGTCTTGTTCTAGACTAGGTCGCTTTGCACTGAGCTAGTATAGCTATTTTTCTAGGGCCAGAATCTCTCTTTTAACGGGATCCTTAATTCGTTGCCCTACCTTTTACGTCTAAAAGTTATATGTATTAGCGTTTATGGCCTTATTCGTCGCGAAATCTCAGAAATTATAGGATAAGAAGATAAAACCACCTTACTACTAAAACTATTTATAAATGCACTGTCGCTCTTCTTCAGTCGTATCTTTCTAATTGCTTTAACTCTTGTTATAAGGATATCCGTCCTCTATATTATATTTTGCGACGCTAAGAATGGCACTATAGTAGCTTTTTATATTATTAGAGTCATTAATAGATATAGCCTTCTTATTTATAGGGAAGCACGTTGAAGAGGCACAAATAAAGACTAAAAGTTCGCAGTTCTCCTTAGCTAGTTCCTATATAATTTACAGTCTAGACGCTCCTTACCTAATAATACTAATCTTCTTACCTTACGAGTTAAAGTCTTCAGGCTAAGAGGCTAGATGGATTAACTAGCCTTTAAAGTTAGACTTTCCCGGCCAGTCCGGAATGTATAGGTCACAAGACGCTCCTACTACAAAGAGTGCGTAAGTAGATGCAGCCTTTAATCCATTAGCTCTAAAGGTCTACGTGTTGTTCTCCGGGTTGTATCTAACTTCTTCGACTCTAGCATTGAAATAGGTGTCTTTCCGAAGGTCAAGCACCTTGTCCATGTGGTCAAAGTATCTTCACCGTGTATCCCATCAGTCGCAGTTTGTGAAGGGCA